CTGCTGCGGCGAGGCTGGTAGCGTGTAAGACTGGACGATCCCCCGACCCTGACAGAACGTCTCCAGGCGAGTGGAAGAAAACTCACCACCACGGTCCGAGTGTAGGCGAAGCCCACACAGGCCCTGGGCGCCACCCCACGCTAGTAGCCACGGCTCGAGGACGGTAGGCACGTCGGCCTTCCGTCGCAAGGGGAAAACCGTGGTGTAGCGGGAGTAGTCGTCCACCACAATCAGGAAGTAGCGCTCCTGACGTGGTCCAAGGACCGGGGAGGGGCCCCAGACGTCCAAGTGCAGGGTCTGGAAGGGAGCCGTGGTGGGGGGGAACGAGGAGGAGTGAGGGGCAGCGCGCTGCCGACCCTCGACGCAAGGAGTGCACAGCGGCGCAGGCGAGCGAGGAAGCGGGGCAAGCGACTCTGGGAGACCTGAGACCAGACGGTAACGTGCCATCCTACTGAGACGTGGGAATGACGGGTGACCTAGACGGTGGTGCCAGAGGACAGACGGGTGGGTGAGGGAGCGACAGTCGCACGACACAACAGCTACCTGACCTGACCTGACCAGGCCTGACCCAGTGCGGTGGGACCCAGTGTGTAGTGAGTACAGACCAGAGCCCGGCTCCTGGTGAAAAGTGGCCAGAGGGGCCCCAGTGGTACCAACTGTGCAGGAGGCAACAGGCTCTTCCAGTGGGAAAGTGGTGACTACACCTAGGTCGTGGAGGTGACTGACACCCACCAGGTTTCTAGAGAACGAGGGGGTGTAGTAACCTGTAAGAAAACCTGAGGGAGCCGCCGGACACGGGAGAGTGGTGGTGCTGCGAGCAACTACAGGTCCCACAGAGGGATCAGCCAAGGCGACAGTGACTGGAGTGCGCAGTGGTGTGAGGTCAGTACAGTCGCGAAAGAAACAGCTGGACGCTCCAGAGTCTAGGGTGAAGGAAAGGTGTGCAGTCTGTGAGGTCGCACCCGAACCAGATACAAAGGCTGGTGCAAGACTAGTGGTAGCTGCAGCTCCTACACAAAGACCCTCAGAGGCGCCTGGACTGGAAACAACACACGCACCAAGACTGGAAACACAGGCCGCTACTCGTGCAGCCGGGAATGGTCCTAGACCAGGCAGGTGAGACTCAACTGGTGCAGCAGTGCGCTGGCGAAGACGCGAGGGCCAGTGCGGTGTAATAGCGTGAGAACAAAAACGCTCACGCTGGAGGTCGTCGAGTCGACGGTAGCAGCTGGACGCAGAGTGGTCAGGACTCCAGCAGGTGGTGCCAGCACCAGGGCCTGTCAGGGCCCGGTACCCGCAGGGGCCGACGTCTCGCCCACTGCTAGCTGAGCCACTGCTGGGGGCTCCACCCTGTGGACCCGCAGGTCCCCACTGCCGGGAGTGCTGCGGCTGGCCCTGCTGCTGTAGAACTCTGGTACACGCCATGTGAGCCTATGCTGCTGCTGGTTCTGCTGGGGGCAGCCTAAGCTGCTGCTGGTGCGCTGGCGGCAGCCTAAAGTGCTACTGGTGCGCTGGGGGCAGCCTATGCTGCTGCTGGTTCTGCTGGGGGCAGCCTAAGCTGCTGCTGGTGCGCTGGGGGCAGCCTATGCTGCTGCTGGTTTTGCTGGGGGGGTAGTTGAAGTTGCTGCTGGTGTGCTGACGGCAGTGGAAGCTGCTGCTGGTGCTACTGGCGGCAGTCTAAGCTGCTGGTGGTGCTCCTGGCGGTAGTCTAGGTTGCTGGTGCTACTGGCGGCGGGTGTGGCAGCTCGTGGGGAGGCGGGTGTCAGGAGGGGCGGCTGTTAAGGCAGCGGGCGACGGGTGGGGAAGGTAAGGCGGCGGTTCTGTGCGGTTCTGTACGGTTCTGTGCGGTTCTGTGCGATTCTGCACGGTTCTGTGCGGTTCTGCGCGATTCTGCACGGTTCTGTGCGGTTCTGTGCAGTGGAGACTGGGTGGGGCGGCTGATTCCTGGTGAGGTGACTGGAACGGGTGGGGCTGCAGGTTTCCAGGTGGGGCGGCAGTTTCCAGGTCTGGGGCAGCGGTTTGCAGTTGCTGGGGCGGCCAATTTCTGGTGTGGCGGCGGTTTTCTGCTCGTGGGGCGGCAGATAGCGGGTGAGGCGACGGCTAACAGGGTGGGCGGGGGGTAAGGCAGCGGGTGGGGCCGCGTCTAACGGGTGGGGCGGCGGTTACGACGGTGGGAAACGGGTGGGGCGACGGGTCGCTGGTGCGCGCGGCTGCTGCTGTGCGTGCGTGCGACTAACGACGGGGCCGCGGGGCCCGCTAGCGAAGGGGCCTCTGGGCCCACGAACGAAGGGCCGCGGGGCCCGCTAACGAAAGGCCGCGGGGCCCACTAACAAAAGGCCGCGGGGCCCGTTAACTAACAGCCGCGACGGGTGACGGGCGACCGAAAAACAAAAGAAGGAAAACTACCGCGATCGACGGGGGGAAACGGGCGACGGGCGACTGGCGACGGGGGGGGGGGGTCTACGGGCGACGGGGCCTAAGGTAAGCGCGATTCGGGGGGTCTAGGACGGGGCATGACTAGGTGGGCCCATGATAGTCGAGTGATTTTTTCCTAAGGGGGAAAATCTCGCTAGGGTTAAGCTAGCTCTATACCATGTCACAATATAAAATTGACTATAATAGAAAAGTAGAAACAAGATATATGCAAAACCTAACCCTAGTGCAAGTACAAAATAACACAAGGGAAAACACCTAGACTAGAGCTACACAAACTATAGAATTATAGTTTGACACTTCGTTGTCGGGTGTGCGGGGAGCGCAGCCGATCAGCTGCAGTGGCAGGCGCCGAGCTGGAGGGCGCCTGGCTGGAGGGCGCCGAGCAGGAGGACGCCGTCCTGGGCGTCTGGATGGCGTCCTAGGAGCCTGGAAGCCGACCTGGGCGCCTGCACGGCGTCCTGGACGCCTGGACGCCGACCTGGGCGTCTGGACGGCGTCCTGTGAGCCTGGACGCCGACCTGGGCGCCTTCACGGCGTCCTGGACGCCTGGACGCCGACTTGGGCGCCTGCACGGCGTCCTGGACGCCTGGACGCCGACCTGGGCGTCTGGACGGCGTCCTGTAAGGCTCGACGCTGACCTGGGCGCCTTGACGACGTCCTGGGAGACTGGACGCCGACCTGGGCGTCTGGACAGCGCCCTGGGCGCCTTGACGCCGACCTAGGCGTCCGGACGTCGATCTGGGTGCTGGGACACCTCTTCTGGGGACGCCGGTCTGGTGCAGCCGGCGTCCGACTGGGTTGGGCGACCAGGCGTGGTTGCCCGGTCGACCGAGTTACCCGTGCGACGTGTGCGATGGTCGCCGGGGTGGTTGCTTCGAGGCCGACCTCGGAAGTGGTATCCCGAGGTCGACGTGGCTGGTAGGCGCAGTCGCTGGCGTGGACTCGACTTGGACGTCTGCGCTATGCACGTGACAAGGAGTGGTGCACCAACCAGCTGCACGCACCTGCGAAGCAGATGCACCGTTGTCCTGTGGGTGCAACGTTGTGCAGCCGACTTGCTGCAGCGTTGGCACACCGTGGACTTGCAACGTTGGCAAACCGCTACCCTGCAACGTTGGAGCGGTGCGAGCTCTGCTGCGCTGGATCGCGGTCGACCATGCTGCGCTGGATGTCGACCAGCAGCCTACCTAGCTCTGATCTAGTATGTGTTGCCAATGTTGTATCAACCATTGTTGTGAACTTTTGCTAGTGAAACTCTTGCCAAATTCCCCCGTGAACCAGCAAGTAGTGCAAGCACAAGCAAACGACTAAGTGAACGAACGCGGAGATCACTCTTGCCCCGTGCCTAGCCCGTAGCCTAGCTCCCGTTGAACTAGTTATCTCCGCAGAGGAAGCAGAGGGGGGGGGGGGGGGGAGGAAGAAACGGGGGGTGTTAAGAGGGAGTCGGGGAAAAGGCCCGAAGATTGTAGGTTGTAGCGGACCGTGATGGCCATGATGGGGATGCATGCAGTGGCAGCATTGGCCAGCCCGTCTAGCATGTTGAACATGTTGTCTGTGCCCTTGAGTGGGTGGCCTGCGTCGTCCACTAGCTTCTATGCCCACGTGCCTAGCAGGCCTGCATGGTGCAGTGATTATTAGGGGCGTAGGTGGCACGGGAGCATAGGGAAAATGTAAGCATGTTGACCATGACTTGCTGCGGTTCGAAACATTTTTCTACTCTGGCCTGCATCGGCCACTAGCTTGTACGTCCACGCCCCTAGCAGGCCTGTAGAGTATATGGCAAAACAAGGGGCACAGGGCATAGGGCGTGGGGATAATATAAGCATGTTGGCCATGTGGTTTGATGTAAATGGATAGCCTGCATCGTCCACTAGCTTGTACGCCCACGACCCTAGGAGGCCTGCAGGCGTAGGGTACATAGCAATGGGGCAATGGGGGGAACGAATGCATGGCTTAGGAGCACAGTTTGCAGCAGGAGGCACAGCAGCAGGTCTTCTTGACCTTGGGGGGTGCACTTATTAGGGCAATCCTAAGCAGGCACATATAGGATGCAACAATGAACATCGTCAAAGTTTGTTGCTATGTGTCACTGCAACACTGTTGCATTGTGGCGACCTGATATTGTAATTCTGCGTTTTAGGTCTATATAGCTTACAGAGTAGGATTTTCGGGGCATGCCGATGGAAGCAGGCAGCAAAATATGTAGTTGTATTTGTAACAGTGTTAGATTGCTCAAAAGTCTTTTGTAACTGTGTAACTGTGTCTTTTCAGGAGCCTCCAATCCTGTTACTATGCTTACCGGGTAGGATGTTCATTGTGCAACAGACGGAAACAGGCAGCCAGATGGCTCTTGATAAGTCTGAACAGGTGCGAGAGGGGGGGGGGGGGAGGGGGGGGGGGGGGGGGGGGAGGGTTGGAGAGGGAGAGGAAGAGGAGAGGAGTTCGGGGGTACATTGGGGGGAAGGAAGGGAGAGTGGTAAGTGCGAAGGAGGGCAAGACGGTGGAGTCGAAGAAGCCAATGGTGGTGAAGTACGGCATCAACCACATCACGTACCTCATCAAATATGTGCGGGAACAGGGGAGGACCAGGGGAGGGCCACGGAAAGGGGAGAAGGGACAGGGCGATGGCAAGGCAGGACACAACTGTGGTGATTAAGATGGGAGAGGAGGGCAAGACGGTGGATGGGAAGAAGGCCGTTGTGGTGGTTCTGTATGGCATCGCATCAGGTGAGGTGAGGTACCTCATTCTTCCTTTCCCCCCATCCCCCCCTTCCCCTCCCCCGCCCTCCCCCGTCCTCCCCTTCCCCCCTTCCCTGCCCCCCTCCCCCTCCCCTTCCCCCTCCCCCTCCCCTTCCCCCTCCCCCTCCCCTTCCCCCTCCCCCTTTCTTCTATACAGGACAAGGCGCAGCTGGTGGTGATCGTGCACGATGTTGACCCCATCGAGCTCGTCATCTGGCTGCCCGCGCTCTGCCGCAAAATGGGCGTGCCTTATTGCATTCTCAAGAGCAAGTCCCAACTCGGTCAGGTGAGATTCAGATCGGTTAAGAGCGCTTTAGAGACAAGGTAATTAGATGCAGCGCTCTGCCGCATTATGAGTGTGACCTACTTCATTGTGAAGAGCAATTCGCGACTCGATCATGTGTGCATGGGAGAGAATCCGACGTAGTGAAATGCATGGAGCAGCATAGACAGATACTCGTGTCTGTATGCCACGTGTGCCATGTTCTTGGTATACATGTTTGCGCCGTGCAGATTTTGTTTTTCATCTTATGTAATCCTGTCCTGTGCCATGTGTGCCATGTTATGCGTTGCAAGGTATGTTCCAAGTGGTGCACCAGAAAACGACCACTGCATTGACGCTGGCTGGCAGATGGTGTGCCTGAACTAATAGTGTGAACATCCCCTTGACCCTTGCATCCCCCGACTTGTCATTCATTCCGCAGGTGATTGACCAGAAGACTGCCACTTCCCTGGCGCTCACAGCTATGAAGAACGAGGACAAGGTCGAGCTGAGCAAGATCGTGGAGTCGGTCAAGGTGAGTCAACGTGGGTCAACGGAGGTGAGTCAGTGGGGATCATCAGGGTGAGTCAGTGGGAATTCAAAGACGAGGAGCGGTAGGGCCTAGTTTGTGCAGGCATTGATGCACTGCCTTGTGTCTGCTTCTGTCTCTCCCTCACGTGCACTTCAACGACAAGGGTTTAGGGTTTAGCCACACAGGTAGGGACACGCCTGCCTACCCGCCTGCCTGCCTACCTACTTGAGGAGCCAATGGGACTGTCACGGCTAAGCCTTGTGTCTGTTTCCCTCTCTTCCCTCCCCTCCCTCCCTCCCCTCCCCCCAAGCCGTTTCCCTCCCCCCCCCCGAAGGCGCACTTCAACGACAAGGCGAACGACTTGAGGCGCCAATGGGGCGTGGGCATTATGGGTATCAAGTCGCAGGCCAAGATGAAGGCCCGCGAGCACATCCTCGCCAAGGAGGTGGCGCAGCGCATGGCTTAGAGGCACTCGCTTGCACTCCTTTCCGCTGGATGCGCAGTGCGGTGCTAGAGGTGTCATGTGCGATAGGCACGTAAATGATAAGATCATCACCTGGATAGAGAGTTGGGTAGTGATGTGTGGTGGCTGCTAGGCCGTGGTTTACATGTGATCTTTTGTTGGTGTATCGATGAAGAATATAAATGCTTTGAGTTCAGGATCTTAACAAATCATGAAGCGGTTCTCATGATTTGAAATTGCTTAAAGCTGCGGTCTACATACTTGGAGCGGGGAGGGAATTTTTTTCACTTGAAAACAGGGTAACTTTGTCCCTGCCAGGACCCCCTGCAGAGAAACGAACAATCGAGGCGGGAGGATGGGGGGGGGGGGGCTCGGGGTTCAGTGTATAACTTGACCCACTCTGTTTCAGTTTGTATACCAAAACTCTGGCGATCATGAGAGCCAGACTTCACTCGACAGCCGGCTTCCAACACATAGTGACTATATTTTTTAGATAATAGTCGCCAATAAAAACCAGCGACTCAGAGCACTGCCACTGTGTTCTAGCGACACGCTCCGCACCGGCCGCTAACCACTTGCTGTTCCCCAAGCAAACCAGCTCACGAAATTGTTTGTCATCGCACAATGTCAAAATGAACAAGAGTGATTGGACTAGCAAGATTGGGAGTACAAGTAGGAAACCCTAGAATGTTGTACCCCCTAAGGCTAAACCCACTATAGCCTACAGAATATAAACATATACAATGTTTGACACACCCCCATAGGCTAAGTGGGAGACAACCAGATGGTCACAAGACCAGTCAAAGCAAAGCAAAGCAAAACAAGCTCAGGGTGGATCTCAAGGATACCACACAAATTCCGAGCACAAGCAAGCGGTCACAAGACCAGTTCACATGCAGTTTGATAATATAACAAGAGGTACAGTGATCACAACCTAGCAAGTGTAAGCATGCAGGTATATATATAGAGATCACAGTACAAGCAGGGTCAAGAAGTGAGCAAGTGAGGGACAGTAGGCACAAGGCCTAGAACAGTACAGAAACGCTGATGATCACAAGGCTGAAGCGCCTTGGTGAACACATCAGCAGTGTTGGCCCGAGTGGCCACGTAAGCAAGACGAAGCCGACCACGCTGCTGCAGCTCTCAAGCAAGGAAGTAGCGCAGAGCGATGTGCTTCGTTCTGTGCTCCAGTCTGTGCTCCTCACACAAGGCAATGGCGGCCTTATTGTCGACGTACAGCACTGGAGGAGAACGAGGCCACTCTCCCAGGTCGGTCAGCAGGTAGGTGAGCCAGCGTAACTCCTGTGCAGCCATGGCTGTGGCGTAGATCTCAGCCTCACAACTGGAGCTGAGAACTGAAGACGAGCGTGTAGAACGCCAAGAAACTGAACCAGAGCCAAGGCTGAAGGTGTAACCCTGAGACGACCGCTGCGTAGCCTGGTCGTCAGCCCAAGAAGCGTCTGAGTGCCCAGTGAGGACAACTCGAGCCCGTCCTCCAAGCACAAGCCCCATGCCCGACGTACTGCACAATTAGCGCAACACCCTCTTAGCTGCATCCATGTGCTCCTTCCGGTGACGGCCAGGAGCGACATAGCGTGCTAGGATGCTAAGAGGGTATGCAAGGTCAGGTCGAGTGCAGGTCATCAGGTACATGAGGCAGCCCACAAGCTCTGGATACGGGCCACTCGGCTCTACGGACTCATCCGAAGGCACAGCTGAGAGCGAGTGACCGGTAGGCAGAGGAGTGGGCTGAGGCGAGGAGTACGTGAAGCGGAAGCGCTGAAGGACCTGCTGCACCATGTGTGACTGAGTCAAGGTGATGGTGCGCTGTGCTCTGTCCCGAGTGATCCGCAAGCCAAGATAGCTTGTCAGCTCACCCAGGTCTGTGCACGTGTGTCTCTTCTGCAGCTCCGACTTCACATGGGCGAGTGCCTCAGTGTCAGCAGTAGCAAAGACCAAGTCGTCTACGTACACGAGAATGTAGAACGGCGGCAGAGTGGTGTCGGTGCGTAGAAACAGCGACGGGTCAGCAGTAGAAGGAGCAAACCCAAGAGCAGCAAGAGTAGTCCTCAGTGTGTCGTGCCACTCACGGGGTGCCTGGCGGAGACCGTAGACTGGCCGCCGGAGGCTCCACTGGGTACCAGGAGGGAACGACCCACTGAAGCCAGGTGGGCGGCGCAGCCAGATCTCCTCGTGCAGGCTGCCCTGTAGGAACGCAGTGCTGAAGTCAAGAGAGTGGAGCTCGTAGTCACGCTGAGCGGCGACGTGCAGCAGAACCCGAAGAGTGGTCATCTTCGGGGTCAGGGAGAAGGTCTGGAAGAAGTCAACTCCCTCTCGCTGACTGAAGCCTCGTGCAACGTAACGCGCCTTGAAGACAGGCGGAGAACCCGGCGGCCGCTTCACCCTGAAAATCCACATGCCACTGAAGATGTTCGCCCCAGGTGGGGGAACCTCGTATACGTAGGTGCCTGTGGACTTCCAGGAAGCCATCTCTGCGTCCATGGCTGTCTGCCACTGAGAGGAGTAGGGACCCTCCATCGCCTCTGCGTAAGAGCGTGGGGTCGGGATGTCTGGTGCATCCGGGTCTCCCTCAGGGGCAATCAGCATGGACACGAGATGAGGTAAAGCAGCGGCAAAGCACTCAAACTCCTCCTGTCTGTCGTCAAGGACGTCCGTGCCAAGAGCACACTCACCCCCGACGGACGGAGGACAGACAGACTCAGACTCAGCAACAAGGCTAGCGGCGTAGTCTAGACGACAGGCGGCAGCAAAGTCAACAAGCTCAGCGACTAGAGCAGACGCAGTAGAGGACTCAAAGGAAGGGTCAGTGACAACAGTGGCGAGGAGACGCGTGACAGTAGGACTGGCAGCACGAAGAGAGTCAGACTCCGGGTCAGCAAGAGCAGGAAGAGAGGACGCTGGAGGAGACGGCAGAGGGACACGCTGTGGAGCAGTGGAAGGACGCAGGGTCATATAGTGAGTGCCAAGGACAGGAGGAGGACGCTGACGCGGAGCACGACGACCAGCGCGGACAGCGCGAACAGGCGACTCTGGACGTGACTCAGACGACTCTGGACGAGACTCAGGCGACGGAGGACGAGACTCAGGCTCACGACGCTCCGTAAAACCTCCCGTCGGCCCAGCCTAAGGAGAAGGACCAGGCAGTGGAGAGGCTGGCTGTAACTGTGACTGCGACTGGACAGGCGGTGGACTCAGTAGGGGAGGAGTAGGACTAGGAGAGGGCGGGAGGCCAAGAACCTGCTGAAGGAGCGGAACGTAGTACGGCCGCGGCCGCTCAGCACCTCCTGAACCAGCAGAGACAGCACCAGTACCCTCAGCCCCAGGGTCTCCAGCTACAACTCCCGCAGCACCACCAGCAACCCCAGCAGCTCCAGGACCTCCAGCACGAGCACCTCCAGAACCAGCGGCTCCAGCAGCTCCAGCACCAGCAGTACCTCCAGTAGCTCCAGCACCAGCAGCACCTCCAGCAGCTCCAGCAGCACCTCCAGCAGCACCTCCAGCACCAGCAGCGTCTCCAGCAGCTCCAGCACCAGCAGCACCTCCAGCAGCACCACCAGCAGCTCCTGCGCCAGCAGCACTAGCACCTCCAGCACCTCCAGCACCAGCAGCGTCTCCAGCAGCTCCAGCACCAGCAGCACCTCCAGCACCTCCTGCACCAGCAGCACCAGCTCCAGGGTCCGCAGCACCAGCAGCGGCTCCAGCTCCAGGGTCCTCAGCACCAGCAGCAGCTCCAACTCCAGGGTCCTCAGCACCAGCAGCAGCTCCAACTCTAGGGTCCAAAGCACCAGCAGCGCCACTCCGGAGACTGCAGCGCCGAGCGTACCACTCTCGGAGCCGCTGGGGAGAGGGCGGCTCCCGCCTAGGCGGGGAACCACGAACACCAGCTCCAGCAGCACCCCTAGCCCCAGAAGCGCCCCTCCTGAGGCTGCAGTACCGCGAGTACCACTCACGCAGCTGCTGTGAAGAGGGAGCGCCTCCAGGCGCCGCACGGTCAGTCGCAGCACCCCCAGGCTCAGTACCCTCAGACGTAGCACTCTCAGGCTCAGCACCCTCAGACTCAGCACCCCCAGGCTCCGTACCCGCAGGCTCAGCACCCCCAGACTCAGCAACCTCAGGCTCAGCACCCCCAGGCTCTGCACCCCCAGGCTCCGCACGGTCAGGCTCAGCACCCCTAGCAGGACGAGAGTCGACAGCTACCTCGACAGGCTCAACCGGGTCTACCTGGGACACACCTGAGGGAGCGGCACCCTGAGGGGGGAGGGGGTCTACCACAGCACCACCTGGTGCGAAGAAGAGAGGCGGGGGGGGGGAGCGGGGCAGTGCGGTAGGGGAAGAGGCGGTAGTAGGGGACCGACTCGTCGAACGTGACGTCCTGAGAAGGCAGGACACGGCGCGAGGTGGCGTGGTAAAACTGCCAACCAGACGCGTCCGGGACAAAGCCAAGGAAGACACAAGGAACAGCGCGGGAGGAGAGCTTGTCCGCGGACGTATCGCGAACAAAAGCTCGAGATCCCCAGACCCGGAAACGAGACGCATCGCCAACCTCTCCCGTCCAACGCAGTGTCGGCGAAGTCTCCGGAACGGAGACACGGGGCCAGAGGTTGAGCTGATGCGCAGCGTATCGGACCGCAAACGGCCACAGAAAGTGGGGGGCAGCTGCATGGATCAAGGAGGTACGAGCGACCTCCATGACCAGGCCAATGCTGCGCTCAGCAACCCCATTCTGCTGTGGAGAGGCCGGAAGCGTGAACGACTGCTCAATGCCCTGCCCCTGACAGTAGGCCCTCAAGAGGTCGGAGGAAAACTCCCCACCTCTGTCAGAGTGCAGACGCAGGACAGGAAAGTCCGAGTGGAACCTCTCGCTGAGCTGGAGACGGGCAGCGCGGATCCAAGGGATCAAAACATCAGGGACTTCACCCTTGGTGCGCAAGGGGAAGACCGTGGTGTAGCGCGAGTAGTCGTCAACAACTATCAAGAAGTAC